TATTTTTTTCATAAAAATTGAAAACGTTTTCTGTTTTAGAAAAACATAAACATAAATATTTATTTAAACGTAATTTTTGTTTTCGTTTTGATGTTTTAGAGATTGACAACATAAAATAAAAAATGTTTCTTATTATTAAACACAGCCTTAATTGACCCCTGAGGACAAACATCATGACATTTTTTTATGTCTTGAAAAGTCTTCAATTTTTGTAGTCGGTGGTTCACTTTCTTTTTTTGTTCAGCGTCATCGTATACTCTCTCTTCTGTTCTCAGAAATCAAATAATATACCAAAGTAGCCAATGTCTCCACATCTATTCACGCCTACTTTCTTGCTTTCTTAAATAAAAATTCATTAATAAACACAGTATTTACACATTAAATTGAATTGCTCCTACATCTAATCCTCTTTAAAATTCGTAATGAAAGAAGACTTGCTTACTCTTAATATTTTTATCAATTTTCAACCATTCCGTAGTATCATTAATAAAAATTAAATTGTTTGAACATTGTTAACTCATGAATTGTTTATCCTTTAAAAAAATATATATATATTATTGTTGTTATTAATATTGTTAATTCATGAAACGTGGAAGTATTAAAAACCACACGGCCAATAAAATGGTTTTATTTCATACCATAATAAAATGAGTTCAAGTTTGGAAGACAAGGAAGTCAACTGAGATTTCCGTTGACCGGGAACTTGTACCCACGTGGCTACCTTCCATTACATAGAAAACAGGTGTTTTGATTAGGTTGGACTCTTAGTATAAAAGAAAAAAGGCAGGGCTAATTTTGGAAGAGTATTTGAGGGTTATTGGGAGTTTGGGACACTTTGGGTGCAAGTTGATGGAATATAATCATCCGATTTAGCATTCACACTATTGGCAAGTAGGAGATTTGTTTCTCACGGCAAATAATTGTGTTCCTTGAGACAAACTAGGTACCTTGTAGTTGTATTTGTCAATAACTTTGGTCTTTCTATGACTCTATTTTCGTGCCCCTCTTAATGTCGTCAATCACATCCACTCTCATAGACATTACTAAAACAAGGTAGAAAGATAAAATGAGTACACGCATAATTCGTTGTCAACCAAACATATATACAAGTTTTAAATCAGTTTTATCTTCTCATATCTGTATTTTATTGTCACCCTCACTATTATTTTGATAATTACTCCGTGATAAGGAAAGACAATAAAATGATAAAGTTTTAATTATTAAAAAAAAAAAAAAAAAAAACAGAGGAATGAAACTTTTAATTTATTTTTCTTCCTCTAGTTAGAAATTCACATTAATTATTTTGGGTTCAAAACTTTTGAATGGGTGTCTTAAGTGCAGGGTTGAGGCTTGCACATGTTTCTCGGCGTGGTATTGAAAAATAGCATCAATTTATAAGCACAACCGATTGTTATTTATTTAGATATTCAATTGGGCAATTAAATTGTATGGTTCATGAATTGATCAGCAATTGTGTATGGTTGAATGAAATGTCTAGAAACATTGATCAGTTTATTGTAAAAAGAAGGTGTGTAAAGTTGAAATTAGGAAGCAAAGGTAGATATAACTAACCCTTCAAAATCAAGACAACCAACTTTAATGAGAGAGTTTTCATATTTACCAAAAGAAGAGGAAAATATAATACTTTTCACACCATTTTCATAAGGAACAAATCTATGGTCAAAGTCCATTTGAGTGAACGTTTTAATCTTCTGAGAAATCTTCTTTCATTTTGCTAAAAGCGTCTTTCTGGACCAATAAACTAGCCACTCACACTTCAAAACTATAAGCCGACAAATACGTTTCAAAATCGCTGTTTATCTTCTCCACACATTTGTGTATTTGGCAAAAACATGTTACGCGTTCCTATAGCAGCAGTAGTGTTGAATTTAGGAATTCCATGGTTAATGGTTGGTTTGGATTTTTGAAATATAATATAAATGAATTTGGGAGGTTGATCTCTAGAATTACTTGACACATTTATGATATTATTATTATTATTATTATTATTATTATATTTTTATATTTTTAAAGATTTGTTTGCATTTAAAAGGAATCAACTTCAAACTTAATATTTTTTGAGGTATTAGGGTCGAATAATTTACCCACTTGAATTAACCCCTTGGATATTAGGTGTTATAGAGAAAAAATATATATATATTTCTAATGAGCATAGCCTTATGCATAATGTAGCCGGAGTAACTATTTTATTAACAACAAAAACAATTTGGTACTCAAAAAGAGTAATAAGATTGAATTCGTTCAACCTAAATTAGTAAGAATTCCGGAGTTTTACAAACTCATATAGAATTCTTTAGACTACCATCTTGGAGATATTCTATTGGAGGATTATAGAATCTAATTCTTTGATGGTAGACAATTTTAGTCCAAAGACATTTTTCTACGAATAGGGTAGATGCTCATTTGTTCCTCACCAAACAACCGAAATTTGTAACTTTATTGAGAGAAATCTGGAAAATGAAAAGCAAAGAAGAAAAATATAAATCAACTCAAAGCATATATTTACCGACAAACCTATGTGAAATCTGAATTAGTAAGTTTTTAATTTTTATTACAAGTGTGTATCTGATCCATTTTAGGTTGTAAACACACTTAAAACAATCTCTCTCATCTAGTTTTGAAAATAAAACTTTCCTAAAACTACACATATGGTTAATAATATTTGATAATAATAAATAAATAAATAAAAACTTACAATTCACTCCCTGTAATATATCACGTATTAGCACTTATTTCATTTAGACCAACCAAGTCCACGACTGTTTTCTCTCTTCATCTCACATAGGGGGTGGTGGCCCAGTCTTTCGCGTTTCAATGGGCAATATTGAGCAAGCAGTGATTTTTAGTGTTTTTCCTGCTGCTAATACAATAGTGGTTGAAGACATCTGTCTTTGCAAGGCGGTCCTTCGGGTGTTATCATCTTCATTTGTTCAGGTTTGTTTTGAGTGTGATTCTTTAATTGTTGTTCAGGCTATGGAGGGGATTGATTCTTGGCCGACTGAAATTCATACAATATCATTTGATGTTCAAGTGGCGAAGCGGCGACTCTCCTTTTCCCATCTTAGCCACGTTCATAGAGATGGTAATAAGGTCGCTCATGCTCTTGCAAAGCTTTCTCATCGACACATTTATGCGGATACTGCTCTAGTTCTATTCATCCTTGCTTTGGCAGTTGTTGTGAGATTTATATGTACCACTCGCAAGTGCACGAATCTTACACCCAAGGGACTTGTGTAAGTTAAGCTTATCAACAAATTTCTTAAATTACAAATTAACTTAAAGTAGGATAATTGAATTGTGATGATTAATTCTAAATTAACTAAGTCGAAACAAATAAAATAATAAAGAACAATTATTAAATATGATGTAGAAAATAGAAAGAGAGCTAGGGGTATGATTTAACCACTAACGTCACACCACTAGTTAATTGCATCAATTTATTGGAAATATATCATACACATGCATAGGGAATTAATTATGGCTACAAGCACATATTAATTCAACTAAAAAATAATATAATTTAAAGCTAAACATGAACTATCTTCGATTGGTATAGACAATCGACATAACTACTTTATTCTAGGGTGTAGCATGGTCTATCTTTTCTAGGCATAATCCATCAAATCTCTAACATTATATTCAGAGAAATACAATTGTGTAATTATCTCATTCACAACTACAAGAAGCGAATGAGTTGTGTTCAATCACAAGATTAAAGTATCTAAAACAAGATAGAAAAATATTTGTAATTGAATTAAAATTTTAAAACCGATTCTTATTGAAAATTCAATTAAAGAACCCTATAGATTACACAATCATGCATGATAAAAATTATTCTCCAATAATTAAATACAATCAAACCAGGGTGCTAAGTTAGGGCTACATCACAACCCTAGCAAAGTGTTTAGCCAAGCATGACTGAGGTGGAATTCTTCATGGTTGAGGAAAACATCTTCGCCGCTATGGATTGATCCCTTCCTTCTTTTGAATGCTCCTCTTTGATCTCAACCTCAAGCTCCTCTGTGTTATGATCCAATGTTGTAGAGGACCCCCTTTAAATAATAAAAGATCAGCCCCAAAGTTCACTTTTTCATATAGGAGACATACATAGAAATTCTGTCGAATAAAGACTTTTAAAATTCGTGCAAACTTCGAGGCCAATTTTGACAAGGTAAACAACTATTTTAGGGGAATCCTCGTGAAACACAAAATTGTAACTCTTCGAATTCCCTATCAACCAACGCAAGAATTTAGCTATTTTGACGCTCGAGGAGAGAGATACGGCCAGATTACCAAAACGGGTTTAAGTTACCAACTTTGGCGAAATTATCCGTTTTAATGAAAGAGTTTTCCTCTTCTTCTTCTTTCCATTCTCATCAACTTGTAACTTCTTTTGGACTATTTTCTAAGTATAATTAGACTTGAATTTTCAACATTGCTCGGTCCCACGAAAAGTCATCTTTTAAAGCTCAGAATTACTGATCTTGACTGATTTTACAATTAAAGCCCTAAAATAAATAAAAATAATAAAACAATGTAAAATCACAAATAAACTACTACAAAATGAATAAAACATGCAAGTTAAGGGGCTAAAATGTATAACATTCAGCGTCTAACAGCAGTAAAGGACCGTTTGTAATTTTTGTTGTTGGTGTTTTCTGTCTGTCAGGGTAAAAAAAAAAAACCCAAGTCCACGACCAAATAAGCGATATGGAAAGGACAGTATTCCTGCAACAAAATGGATCTCATTCCTGTGCATTGATGTTGTCCAGCTGGGTTTGATCTAATTTGGACGTTCACTAATATATATTACTGTTGCACTATATAGCCAGAGATCCCAAATCTTTCCCTCAATGTCCATACTGTTGGGCACAAGGGAAATCCTTATACCAATTTGTTGGGCAGCAACCGAAACCAAATCCCAACACATACCACCACTATGTTGTCCAATATCCTCTTCCCCTCATATCATAAAACACAAAGCAAAGTCATTAATCGAATTACAAACAAAGTAGTTAAAAGCAAAAAAGAAAAAGAAAAAGCAAAAAAGAGAAAGATAAAAACAGAGAAACACTCAGAAAGATTCTTCATTCATTTATATAGTTAATACTTCACTTTAATCATGTTGACTGCTTTCTTTTAAACTATACAAATCTAGATTGAGATCATACAATGTTAACTCCACAATGTCTCTAATGAGTTCTCCTTCCACCTACAGACCTATAGCACATAATGACTCCATTGTTTCATGGTCCTGTTCTTTGTATACCTTGATACTACTTATATTATCCATTCCATTTCTAAGCTTCACATCAGCTCAATCAAGCCTCTGCAGAACCTCTTGTGGTGAAATTCCAATCAACTACCCTTTCGGCATTGATGATGGCTGTGGCAGCCCATACTACCGCCACATTCTCGTCTGCTCCAACTCGGGACAACTTGAGCTTAGGACCCCTTCCGGGAGATACCCTGTTCGGAGTGTAAGTTACTCAGATCCTCACATTCTAGTCACTGATCCTTTCATGTGGAATTGCCTAGATGGCGATAACTTTCGTCCCACACGGCCATTTAGTCTAGACACTAGCACTCATTTCTCACTCTCCCCTCAAAATGACTACCTCTTCTTTAATTGTAGTGGAGATAAAGTGATCATTGAGCCTAAACCAATCTTCTGCGAGCGCTTCCCTGAGCGGTGTGATTCATCGTGTGATAGTGCTAGTTATCTTTGCAGGCACTTGCCAGAATGTGCTTCTGCTTTGGGTGCTAGTTCTTGTTGTTCTTACTACCCCAAAGCAACCGAATCTCTGAGATTGATGTTGAAGTATTGTGCGACTTATACTAGTGTGTATTGGAAAAATATTGGTATGAATCCTCCTCATGATCAGGTCCCCGAGTATGGTATTAAGGTTGATTTTGATATTCCGGTGACCACCAGCTGCCTTCAGTGTCAGGACACCACAAAGGGGGGTGGGACATGTGGATTCGATACACAAACACAGAATTTCTTATGTCTATGCAAGGAAGGAAATTTCACCACTTACTGCAAAGGTATGTTCAAGGCTCTAATTTGTCACACAATATTATATCTTCAATTTTTAATCACCATGTTCCACAGCTCTCTCACTGGGTCATGCCTAATTAAATCAAAACAGAAATACCCAAAACAATTGATAGTTAATTCGCTTGTTTTCTTGTGCAGATCCTAAAATTTCTCGGCATGGTAAAAATATTGGAGTTGTTGCAGGTGAAATATTGCATTAATATTTCATAAATTTAGAGATTTCAAAAATAAATTACTGTTGTTATAGGTTGGAAATTCGGCTTCTGATTTTCATTCATATATATTGTTGCAGGGACCATAACAACAGTTTCAGCTGCTGGAGCTATTGGAATTGGAGCTGGTATATGGTACTTGAGAAGAGTGAGGGCAAAAGCACCGGTTACACATGGAGTTCAAAGCAATGAGAATAGGCTCTTTTGAGGAACATCAATTAAAGTGAAATCAAGCGTCTCTGTTTCCTTTTCTTTCTTTATCACTAGAAGGTACTTTTTGCTGTTCAACAAGCCAGTTTGATGACTTACACCTTCCTTAATGAGACGTTAAGAAAATACACATTTGTATTGCTATGATTATATTACAAAACTTAACTCAAATATATTTCATAAAAGGAAAGACAGAGATATAATACAGAATAGCATTAATTATACTTAACTCAAATATATTTCCTAAAAGGAAAGGCAGAGATATAATACAAAATAGCATTAATTATACTTACCTCCTTGCCTAAATAACAGGACCTGTCTTTCAATGGTAACATCAGCAAGGGATTGCTCTTATCTGCTGCTATATCAAAGATAACATTAGAGAGAAGATATGTAAATTACATATTAATACAGAAATTAAGCACAATACTCAATCTGTTAACCAATGTACACCAACCCCTCTTGATCTTAATATAATCAATCCTGTGTCTATAAGCAATGATTTCAAATTCGACAGAGGTGAGTAATGTTCCTGATAGAGGTCTCTTGTGAGAAGAGTCATGAGCCCTCTTTATTTAATCATTGGATTGGAAGAGTTTTTTCTTTTAGATATATATATATATGTGTGAAAAGTCAAATAAATTATTTAATATATCTTTAAATTCAATGGCTAAATTGAGAGAAGCTCTATGAATAGTTCTGTTAGGAGTATTACTCTTTCACTTTGATTTGAATGAGATTTAGTGGTAATTAATGGATAATATTTACCTATAGGTAAAGTGATAATAATAAATTGAAGGGTAGATTGCACTGACACCCCCGGTTTTAGTTAGAGAGAGTCCTCTTAGGAACATTAATGGATAGACCAGTAGGTGAAGTAATAATAATAAATTGAAGTGTAAACACCAAAATGATGAACAAATAAAAGTCATCAGAATTTGTGTAGCACCAACCAAAAAATTCTTCAAGATTTGTTCCCTCTGTGTTTGGATCACTTGCACCCATATATAGGTATATATATGTGTGTGTGTGTGTGTGTGTGTGTGTGCGCGCGTATTTGTGTGTTTATATATATATATGTACCGTGTACATATATGTATAAGAGAGCATGAAGAGACGAGTGGACGGCCTACAACTTCCCATCACCCCTAAATTGTCGTCAGAGTCCTTTTTTTTTTTTTTCCTTGTGTTTTGGGTATTAATTTTTTTGGGTTGGAAAGCAGTTAGTTATTTTATTATGAGGTGTTTTTTTTTTTAATACAAATCAAGAAGTATATATTTCAGGGAAGGTTTCATGCAAATCCAAATTGGACAAATCATGAGGTGAAAATCTTTATTAGATATACATAATACATATAAATATATAGTTTAGGCAAATCCAAAAACTTAGATATATGATGCTCAAAAAATAAAATACCACTACCACCACCACCGTCACCACTTTTTTATAACTTCTAACAACAACAACAAAACAACAATCAGAAAATGATAATTATTAAGGTAAGATACAGATATTAAAGCACATATAGAAGTTCATTAGAAAGAAAATAGATGGCGAAATACATAGACAAATAGATTGTTTTATTGCAAAGCGCATAGACATTCCTGCACACAACTCACCCATAAAGCCTATAAACTTCTTACATGCTGACCAAAATTAATTTATTAAGACAATTATGCACGTTCAACAAGCAAATCAATAGACCAACTTAAATCTCCATAAATTAATATGGCTAACAATTATATTGCCCTTATTATAGTGCTAGTTTAAAATTTAAAACTAATACACTTTTGAACAGTATTTAATATGAGTAAGATACTCTCAAGTGAGTGCAAGGCATTTTGCTGAAAATTTGACTCTTCACAAAGCCGTCTACTTAAGACTTGAGTAGAAGTGAAAAGATTGGTAGAAGTTGAAGGAGGAGATACGAAGCTCTTTCCCTCTAAAGTTGTCCTTTGGTTAAAAGTTATGATGATATGAAGACAAGTTTAAAGCGGGGTTAGTGGCAAACTAAATATCATCCAAGAAGACTGAACCAAGCTAAGGAGATCAAAAACCAAACAATATATAGACGATATAAAGGAATCTACAACAATATCATGAACATACTTCCTAAGCTTCCACAGGTCACCGGAGAGACCACCAATGTAACTGTATTTCTCTGTGAATGTAAAATTCTTATTAAAAAAGTAATATGTAATATCATCACTAGCATATATAGAAAAGCCAATTATTATAAATGAAAGATGATGGCATAGGATTACCATAACCCATGCATTGACAATATCTATTGTTCGAGTTGTCGGTGTCACGAAAACAGTGTCACACCCCTACACGTTTTAACCATATTTAGATCCTGTTCCTTAACCGTCTAGGAATATCAACAGTAGAAGAGAACTGTGGAGGAAAAAAAAAAAAAAAATCAAACATTTAAAGAAGAATAAGTGTTCAATCTCCACAAAATACCTGTCCTTCCCGAAGGCATTCAAGATCTGCAGTACTTTGTTTATAAAGAAACTGAATACGGTCTTCGATCTCCGTTGACTTCATGTCAATCAAACCCATTAAATTTACAGAGAAAAAAACAAAAGTGCATCAAATTAAATACCATTGCACCTCAAATCCTCAATCCGTAAGGATTCAATTGAGGGATTTAATTGGAAAATCCAGAACATACCCAATAGGAAACTAACCAGAACACTACAATTGACACTTGGATGCAGAAAGGAACAAAGTAAAAATCCATAACTACATTCCAAATTCAATTATGAGCTAGCATTTCAAAATGCAAAATGGAAGCATCATAGAACTATACTAACAATTACCAAAAAGCATTCTGCACACTAGGTATTATATTGACAAGGTTCAGAATTACACTATAAAAAACATAGCAGTTATGACCTATGCCTCGGGATTTCATACTTCCAATGTGCTTTCTTTCCACTTTGTCACAATAACTGAAGAGAAAAGGATGATTTTTTTTTTTTTTTTTTTTAAAAAAAAGGAGTCTACCCCACCCCCCCCCCCCCCCCCCCCCCCCCCACACACACACACACACACGCTTGCGCTCTCTCACACACCTACACAGATGCACATCCCATAGACTATTAGAGAAGAAACTTCTGGCAACAATACTTTTCCATTAAAAAAAAAAAAGTTTGAAGGAATGTGTCAGACTTCTCTAATAGATGGTCGAAAATAATTGAAATCCTTGATATACGGTGACTATCCATAAATTCTCCGGTATCGTATCTTGTATTACTTTCCTATTTCTATGTAACTTCACTCCATTACAGGAACCTATTGACTTGATGACTGAGAAAATCAGACTATTTAAAAAACAGATAGCATAATTGATCATGCATCAACTCATCCTAAAAGAAACAGTTTTAATTCAATATGAAAGGTGCTTCCAGATGAGATACAATGAATGGCCTGTCCCCTACCCACCTCACATATCAAATATGCTGCAAAACCTGATAGTTGTGTTATTATAAGAGACCTTGTCATCAAAACACATGGTCTGCAAAAAAAAAAAACTATAGATCCTAATTCAAAATTTTATCATTTATAGATGCCTTTAATATAATCATGAAACACATTGTCAATGTTGAATATCTAAACATAGTATACTATCAGAAGTCTTATTTAGAAGCGTAATTGATTTCCTGATCATCAATATATACAAGTCACATTTCATAAAACATAAGGTGATGTGCTTCATTTATAGGAAGTGCAAGAGGGAAAAGTTTACCTCTTATCCGGCTGTAATGTGAAAGGTCCACAACCTGAAACATAAAAAAAAAAATTGGTCATTTAAGCAACCAGTTCAAAGACAACTACCATCCATTAAGATATGCAGGCAATGCCCCTAGAAATCGGGCTCCACTTAGTGCAGATAAACGCTATTAGAGTGCTGAGACAAAGCGCACTTTCCAGATCAATATAAAATTTCAAATTATACAGCTTTAAGAATTTCTTCCCCCCCCCAAAACACATACACAAACTAATAATAATATTAATAAAATAAAAGGATACAGAATTGATATGGTACATTTTCAGATATGAAGCTAGTAGACAAACTAAAACCAACCTAGACATGGACTTCAAATCTAATTGTTATGTCATGCAACATACCCTGGATCTGCAGATAAATTATAAACAATGAAATCTCAGGCAGATTAGCTTTAAAAATTGTTATGGCTGCAGAGAAGAAAAGAGGAAAGAAACAAAGAAGAATAAAGGCCTTAACACTTAAAATCATTATAGTAAAATCCCTACACTCCCCCTCAAGTTGGAACAGAGTTTTATCATGTGCAGCTTGTTACATATTTCATAAAAAAGGGTCTTTCCTAGTGCCTTAGTAAAAATACATCAATTGAGCTCTTGATGGAAAATAAAAAGTGACTACATTTTTACTCGCCACTAACTCCCTCACATAATAAGAATGGCAATCTATCTTAAAATGTTTCATCCTCTCATGATACACCAACCAGATCACTAGCAATCCATGCATTACCCTCAAAAGTTGATCTTGCCACAACATTTTGCATCTTACTTTCAATTTTACCAGATAACTTCCTACATATGCACAATACCCTAATATAAATCTTCTGTCCATTTTGTTTCCCTTTCATTTAGCATTTGTAAGAACAACAATATCCAATTTCTTTGCAAGGCTTAAAGATAAGTCCTATATCAGGCACTCCTTTCAAATATAAATTATCGAATGTGACAATTGCATGTTCTTTATTAATGCTCAAATATTTGGCAATTGCATGCTCTTTATTAACCACTCTGAATTAAATCAGGTCTCAACTGAATGAGATTAGTAAGACTGAACTAGTAAGGGTGGAGTTACTAATATCTGAATTTAAAATTTCAATTCGTGGTGACAAAACACGGAAGAAGTATACGAGGAGGTACAATAATAATAGTAAATCTAAAAAAACCAGGTATGCACCACAATGCCATTATCAACTGCATCTAATGCTTCTTCATCGTTATTGAATGTTTCAATTATTCCATCTTCTGACACCTCCGTCCCTGCACCTCTCACAGTGTCCTGCAGAGATTCAGGAAATGAACCTTATAGGCATAGGGAAGAAGGAATAAGAGCACTAGA